TTAATAAATAATATTTGCAATAAGCAAATATTAAGAATCAGGTAGGGGGCTGGGGATTTAGCTCAGTGGTTCCACCACCTGCCTCTTAAGTGCAAGGTCCTGAGTTCGATCCCCGGTACCAAAAAAAAAAATCATTTAGGAGTCAGATGTGGCACTGCATACCTGTTATCCCAATTCTGTGGTAGGATGAAGCAGGAGGATTGCAAGAACCCAGCTTAGGCAACTTGGTGACTTAGTGAGTCCCCATCTCAAATTTTTTTTTTTTTTTAAAGAGCTAGGGAAATAGCCTAGTACAAATGCCCTGGGTTCAATGCCCTGTACTGGAAGAACAAAACAAAAAAAATTCAATTCATAAGGTAGGGTAGGAGAGTACATAGAAAGCCATGAGGTAGATGAGTCCATAGAAAGTCATAACTATCCATCATTTCTTTTCCCTTTAAAAAATAAAATATTTGAAGCAAATGAGTTATAATTTGATAAAGCTGGGTGGTACAGACAAGTGTTCATTTTATCATGCTGTGATGTAGTTGGCATGTATGAAATACTTCATAAATCAAAAGACTATCATTCTAAGATTTTATGAACTATTTAATTTGAAAGAATTTACATTATATGAAATTGAGAACAGTGCTAGGACCATTATTATGGTCCTATTTTAGGGCCTGGGAATCAGTGTAAAAAAGATGGGTAGCAGTTTTTTTGTTTTTGTTTTTTTTCGAGACAGAGTCTATGTAGTTCAGGCTGACCTTGAACTCACTATGTAGCCCAGGATGGCCCTGAACTCCCAGTGATCCTCCTGCCTCAGCCTCCTGACTGCTCGGATTATAGGCATGCGCCATCATACCCAGCAGGTAGCAGTTTTGATGGTTAGGTTGATTTGACTAGATTGAGACTGAGAGAGAGACAACTGGACCGTGGATTAATCCGATGCTCACCACTGGAATGTGCCTTCAGGAGGTGGGGTCCAGTTACTGGGGTGTGCCTTTGAAGGGTTTCTCTCTCTCTGGCACTTTTCCCCTGCTCTGCTTCCTGGCTATGAAGGACATTGTTCCATCATGCCCTTATGCCCCATTATATTTTTGCTTTGGAGCCAGCCAACAGTGGACTGAATCCCCTGAAACCATGAACAAAAACAAACCCTTCCTCCGTGAAGTTGTGTTGGCTATTTGGTCCCATAGCAACAAAAAGTTGACAATACAGCAGCTCATTTTATTTTTTATTTTTGGTATCAGGGATCGAACTCAGGACCTTGCACTTGCAAGGCAGGCAGTGGAACCACTGAGCTAAATCTCCGGCCCAGCAGTTCATTTTACTTTTGATGTGAACTAAATTCATGCAACACTTCTAGGTAACTGCCTACTAAAGAATCCAGTGGGATATGAAAGATAGAAACACTGAGTTTCTACTTTCAAAGAAAACACAATCTAGAAGGTAAAATACCAATGTCCCCTTTAATTTCTGAAAATGTTAGGCAGGTGTTTATGGTCCAGGGATAACTGCCTTTTATGGCCCTCTTGCTTTTCTGCATATTTTTTTTTAAAGAAAATATCTACATTACATTGTTGTGTTGCTTTTTACTGTAAGATTATCATTAGCATCGATATATGTAATATAGAAGGAAGCATTTCTAATTGTAAATCTTACACAGAAATATCTTTTTGGTGGGGAAGATAGGAGTGTATTTTAGTGACATTCACTAAATACTAATACCAATTAAGAAACAATCAAGAAATTCTGCAATATTCCATATGAAATGAACTCTATTAACCAAAGCAAGATGTTAGCTTTAAAAGCTCTCTTCATTCCCATTTAAACTTATATTTTGATATGAATACATTTTATGTTTTCATTTGTTTTTAGGCATTTACCTAAAACAGCTGTGTAGTTTTTCTTTTTCCAAAGCATAAATGCCACAAACCAGTTGTAAAATCAGATTGCAGGGTGGCGCATGCCTGTAATACCAGCTCTTGGGAGACTGAGGCAGGAGGATCATCACAAGTTTGAGGTCCACCTGGGCTAGTGAGTTCAAGGCCAACCTGAACTTCATAGTGAGACCCTTGTCTCGAAAATAAATAAATAAAAAAATCAGACTGCAGGTGGGCATGGTGGGCCATGCCTGTAATCCCAGTACTCTGGAAGGCTTGAGGCAGGAGGATCGAAAGTCAAGTATAGACTCGGCAACTCAGCAAGTCCTTGTCTCTAAATAAAAAATTTTAAAGAATGGCTAGGGATGTAGCTAGTGTGAAGGACCTAGGTTCATACCCCAGTACACCGAACTGAAGCAAACCCCCATATTGCCACAAAGTTACACAAAGACAAACTAGTTTTAAAATTTTATTGAAATTCAAGTTTAGAATGTAACAATTTAATACAATATTATTTTGAATATTTTCTAGTAAGTATTTTCACTT